ATTATTATTATATATATATATATATATATATAATGACAATATCGTCTGATATAATTAACACTCTGTTGATAATAAACCTCATCAGATTTAAGCAGTCAGGAGATGGAGAAGAATGCAATGACCTTTCTAAAACTATTAATGACCTATTCGAAGATGAGTGATTGATTAATCATAGTTTTTGACTCCAATGATAATTGACCTCATGATTAAATTATAATTATTAACCAAAGTGATATTTTCATTGCGAAAGTATTTAAAAATAGCAAATGTTGGCCTGACAAAAGCTTTTGAAATTTGTTAAATAAATAAAGCGCTACTTGAAATGTTTATTTCCTATTATTTGAAAAGTTAATCTGAAAAGTAATAGTGAAAGATGTTTGAAATAAATAAGTAAAGTGGAAAAAAAAGTATTCGATGTAATAAACAAAAAAAAGAAAAAATTCAGAAAAATATTAAATTTCTTGAAAAATAACAAAAGGAGAAAGTGCGAAAAATATTGTTTTAAACTGAAGATTAAACCTTTTCGCAATTTTGCAACTTCTCGAAGCCATTCCTTAAATGTAATACGATCAGCAATTTTCAACGGAGCGCTCATTAATGGTATCGCCCGATTACGATGCTTTCGTTGATGATACAGAAATACATCACCTTCAATCATCGTACTTCGTTCCAAATATGGTCCTAAAAAATTTTTTAATTTCAATTTATAAGGATGTTGCATTTGTATTCAGTTAATAAATTCATCACTTAAAATTTTATTTTTTGTTTTTTTTTTGGAATGGAACAATTTAAAATGTATTATTAATGCATTATATCACATATTTCATCATTCCTTATTTGTAAAATAAACAATTTTTGTCTTTTTTTGTAAGATTATGCAAATTAAGAGGTGAAATTAGAAACTTCAAATTGAAATAATTGAAAATTTATTTACAATTTCAAATCAAAAAGTATTTCGCACAGTTGATTTGTACATTTTGAATTTGAAAATTCGTCTTCACAAATCAAAGATGACAATTTGTTTTAAAAAATAATTTTTTTCACAACTTTTTTTTCTATTTTTTTGGAAGGTTTTTCAAGACTAATAATTTCTATTATGCAAAAGATTAATTCACTCAATTTTTGACCATTGATTTTATTTGATTTCAATATGTTTAGCAAGCTTACAAGCCAAAATTATATGAGGATGGCAGAATTGGTTAATTTGTTTTAATTGAGTAACTTATTATTAACAATAAGATGTATGGCCAATAATAGCATCATAAGTCATATAACTCATATTGGCCAATTATTGGGCAGATGTAAATTTTGTCTGTCTCTCTCAATACTTTCATTTCAAATTTTACTTTATTTTATAGAGAAAATTCTTTCGTTTGATTGTAAATGAATCTTATCTAAAAATGCAATGCTAATAAATCAAAATTACGTATATTAATTAACAAATATATTAATTAGCAAATTTATTGCATATCGTAATGTCATTAGGACCATATGTTACTGCAAATTTTCATTTCTAATTTCCTCATTTATTATGCCAAGCAAACTTTCGAAGGATAGAAAGTAATGATTGATTTGATAATTTCTAATTACTATGGCAATAAGTTAAGACAAGGTTTTGCATATTTTAACAAAGAATTTCAAGAATAATTAAACTAACTGAATTTGTTATGACAAACAAATTTTCATAAAATGTAATAAATCGCAGATTATAAGCTGGAAAAGAATAAAACGAAAAAGTAAATCGCGAATAAATTTCGAAAATCAATCTAATTAGACTTATTAAATTACATAATATATACTAAGTATTAAATTAATAAATTTTGCTGTCCCAAATTTATAATACTGCAACTACTTTTTTCTTTCTTTCATGCTTCTTCATTTTGAATTTCAATTATGGAAATATTTTGTGATTATTTTCAATTTCAAAAACTCTTTAATACTTAATAATTGTTAACTCATTTAATCCATAATATTCTTGTTAAATGGCAGTGCATTTCATTTTTATTTTTAATCAGACTTTTGTTTTATAATATTTTTTTGTTAAATTTCATATTTTCAGCAATTTTTAAATTTTCGAAAATAAAATTTTTCTCCATTGTTGTTATGAAGTAAACGAAAAGACAAAAAAAGTAGAGAAAAATTAAAACTAAGCATTTTGCAAAGTATTTTAATTGAAGTTTTGGAAAATGTTAAAATTTGCTTTTCTTTCTTCCCTTCTATATATTCCTTCCTTTCTCTTTTTTTATTTTCAAAATTATTACAGACAAAAGAATAAAACTAATCATACCATTAAGTTGTTCGAGCAAAGCTGGCCAACTATTAATTCCATGGGCTACTTGTACTTCACCATCATTACTATCATTACGCCATACTTCAACAGCTGATACGCGTGTTCTTGATACATAACCTGGCATAAAATTTACATAAATTAACATTTCCAAATTATTTTTAATCAAAACTTTAACTTCAATTACAAAATTGGAAAAACAAAATTATTCGGAAAATTATTTTAACAAATTTTATGTTTACAAAATAAATCGATTAAAACTATCAGTAAAGATTATTCTTACATATTTTTTTGCTTCATTTTTTTCGACAAAATGTAAACTTTTATTTTTGCATTGATTTCAAGCAGTAATTATGTCTTCTCTATTCTTGTGTCATCATTCCCCTGACACAACATTATCATCGGGTTTTCCCGGGGGGGCACGACAATAATGAGGAAAGAATTACAAGTTCACTTTAGTCCTATAAACAAACGTAATAAAAATGAATAATGACTTCTTTATATATCCGTCCATTTTTAATCTTTTCAAACTATGCAAAACAAACAATTTTCGGAATTTTCGGAAAAAAATTCATACATTGAAAGTATTTTTCAATAATTACTGTAAATAAGTAAACCGTTTACAGTAAACCGATTAATTAAAAATAAACTAATTAAAGTAATTACTTAGTCACTCAATTGTTTTTTATGGTTTTGTAAGAAATGTTTTCTGAAAATTAATATAAATAATTAAACCGATTTATCTATAAATCAATAATTTTATAAAACTTTTAATTTAACAATTTATCAATTTATCGTTCTTAAATGGTTGATAATCAATATTTCATAATTTAATCAATATTTTGAAATATTTCATACAATGTTTATATAGTGATAATTAATTCATCTGTGAGAGAAATATCAATATAATCCATTAACAATTCCTTTTTTTAGTTTTCGGTTTTCCTCCAAAAGTTTTCATTTTCTATTTTCATAGCTTAATTTGTGGAATAGATGTCGAATGATCGAGAAAATAAGGACATAAATAGTTTGTTGCATGCTAATTTATAATCATTGTCATTGTCATTGTCACCTTGTCATCAAATAATTACATTGTTATCATCAAATGGTAAATTTATTTAGCACTTTGCGCCTCAATTACCTTTCCATTTCCTTTCAAACATTATTTCAACAGAAAAAAAAATTTTTTTTTGGATTTAAAATCATAAAATAAGAGTATATTGATCGAATTCAAATATGATAATATATGTGTAAAGAAAAAAGAAATCCATTCAAAAAAGATAAACTTATTTACATAAAACTTGAAAGTTGCAAAATTTTACTAAACTGTCATCCATCCCTTTCGTATTCCTTTCTTTACTTCAAATTATTGTATAATTTACTTAATGTAAATATTCTCAAATATTTTAATTTGTTTTTCCATCAACAATTTAAACTTTTAATTTTTAAAAATCCAATAAAGAGAACGAAAAAAGAAACTGTAATTTAATTTAAGTTATTTTTTTTCTTGTTTATCAAAATTTAAACTTTGAATTTCTAATTAGCTAAAAAGAAAAATGAATTGAAATAGGAAGAATGGAAAAAAAAGACATACTGTAACAAGTGGTTACGATAAAACTGATCAACCATAATGAACAAATAGCAAAATTGAAACAGAACATTAGCCTTTGGCGTTCTTATATTGTTTGAAGTTAAATATTTTGAAAGGCATAAATGCATTTCAACAATTCCACGTCAACACTCAAGTTCATGCCATTCCATTTCCCATTACCGTAATCTTTGCATTATTGTAATTTCGTGATCATAAAACTGAAAAAAAAAACTTTAAATAAGGTATAAATATCCCCTTGAAATATTCAAATTACAAGAAAATAAAAAGGATCGACGAAAAAAAAATCTCACCAATAATCGAAATTAATATTATTTGAATCAAAAATATAAACATATATAGTTAGTACTAGAAATGAATTCAAATTTTAAAAGTACACGATATTTATTATTTCATTCTCTTATTAAATATTCACTCTAAAATTACCATTTGTTATTCCATTTTTGAATTAAATACTTAGCCTAAAATAATTCTTTGATTAAATAAATAAAAAAGGAAAAAATCAAAGATGAAGAAAAGAATTTCAAATGTTCTTGAATGCATATTACATACCATATTGAAATGTGAAAATGAAAAAGAAAAAATTATATATGTAGTACTCCTTCCAATAATATCGTTTTTTCACTAATAATTAATTGATATAGTCTTTATTAAGTTAAAAGGAGTTAATCAATTCAAATTAAATTCAAATCATCGAAATGATAATTGTCATCCAAATAAATTTATTTCATTAAATTTAATGCAAATCAAAATAAATTTTCTTTTTCTCAATTAATTTCCATCAACAAGAACAAAAAGTAAAAGAGAGAGGAATGACTTATATCATTGCATCTAGCATCATAAATTCATCAATGAAAAAAAAATATGAAATCCTTTTTAGTCTGATATTGGAAATTAATTAATTGATGAAAAAATAATTGTTAGCTGTTTAAATTGGAAACTTTCAACTATAAATTTTATTCTTAATTACAATTCGTTTCAAATTTTCAAATTTTGAAATAAAATTGAATACATTCGTTAATTAATATGCTTCCAATTAAAATCCATTGATATATTTTTAATTAAAGTCCAAAATCTAAATTGCCTTTAATTTAAACTTCCCCAATCACAACTTTTCATTTTATAACCAAAATATTAAAAATTATTTTATTTCTTAATTTAAAAAGAAAGAAAATGAAATCAAAACTATTTTACCATTTCTTTGCTAACTAGAAAAGTGTAATAAATAGTATGTATAAATGATAGGCCAGAAATATAAAATGATAGAAAGTTTCCTGAGGTTAAGATATTGTTGATTGATAAGACGATTGACCCCATCACATAGACATACAATCTCTCTCTTTCTTTCACTCTTACTTATACTTCCACCTGACCTCCTGTAACCTTTTATTAGTTGTCAAGTACTACAACATTGAACATATGTTATTTGACCCCTCCCTCCCCAATTCATCTTATCATAAATATATAATAAATTTTACAAACTTGTAGAAAAAAAAAAAAAACAAAAACGGAATAAACTCCATTGTTTTTCTTTACGAATCTTTTTAAGTCAAAAAAAGAATTTTTTAAAAAAAAAAAAGAAAAGTGGAAACAAAAAAAGCGGCAGATGTTATAATATGGGTCAAAAGAACAGATCAAAAAATTGACATAAAATTTACAAATGAAATTTGGGAAAAAAAATTGAATGAAATTTAAAAAAAAAACTAACTCGCATCAAACATTTTAACTTTTTAAATTTTAACAAATTGAAAGTTTCTTTTTTAATTAGTAATTGAAAAAAGGACAAAAAAACTTTTCGATTATAAATTTTTTTATTGTAAAAGAAAAGAAACCAGCATTAACGATGAATGGGAAGCAAAAGAGAAAAAAGCTCATTTTTAAATGATTTTTAAAGGAATTATTGATTTTTTCTCAGTTATTCAAATTTTTTTCCAATTCTATTTTTTTCTTTTGATAAAGGATAAAAAAAGGATATATTATGCATATTTTCCTTTAATAAATTGTTAATTATAATTTATACTAATTTGATGCCATTCATTTTTTAACGTGTTTGACGTGTCTTGCGTGATTCGTTAGGTTACGTGAAAATTTCTTCAATGAACATTATTATTGTTGATAAGAAGGAAAGATTATTTAATTGTCAAAAATGAAAAAAATCAAAAATTCCAGTTCATTAGCTAAGACAATTAAACATTTTCAAAAAAAAAAGAAAAGAAGGTAATGTCACAAAATAATTAGCATTTTCTTACTTTAATAGCATTTTACTGTTTATTTTTTTTAATTGTTGCTTTTTATGATTTTATACTAATTTTGGCTTAATTAATTATCCTTTATCCTGCCATAATTATTCTAATTAAATGATTTATTTTTCATGCTTATTTTTCTCACATGTGAAAACATCCTTTTCCTACTTCATCATTCCTTATTATGAAAATTTCATAAGTTAAAAAAGTTCTTTCTACAGATTAATTAAGAAACTACGACTTAATATTAGATTAATGAGGGATTAATTAGATGAAAGAGAAAATTACACTGACTTAAAACATTTCAAACTATATTATCTATCAGCAATAACACGCTAATAAAGTTGTCCAGGCATTTAAATGATTAAGTATGCTAATTTCTATCGTCATATGCTTTTTTAAACTTTTTTGTTGGTCAAAATCAAAAAACCGAAAATAATCGAAAATAAATTTCATGTCTGAAAATGAAAAAAAAAAAGAAAATTAACCGAAATTTGATCGAAATAATCAAAAAGAAAAAAAGGAAAAACGAAAGTAATTAAATTAATTTCACACTTTCATTCGAAATGTAATCTGAAATTAAATCAAATTAAAATTGTAATTTTGATGAAAAGAAAAAATAAACTATTTAAAATTAAGCAAATCAAAAATAATACAAATCAAAACAAATTTTTAAATACATTGATTAATTAATTGAACTATTTTTAGCAGAAAATTCCGAATAAATTAGAATTGATTTGTTAAATTTGGTTCGATTATCAGTGTTATCTGTTAATCATTTATCATCATCAATTAACAATGTTCGTTCCTCTTTTTGTTTTAAGATAGCTTTTCAATCTTTAACAGTAACAACAACAGCAACAGTTGTAATACATTCATTTCCAACAATTCTTTTATCTTTCCTTTTCTTTTTGCTTTTTCAGCTTTGATTTATTTGAATAATTTCGAAATTTCAAAAAATTTGATTGTTTGAAAAGTAAACAAGAAATTCATTTATAAAATTTTAATTTAAAAATTGAAAAATGGAAAAAAGTTTTTTTTTCTTAAATCTATATAAATAAGTTGAAACCTTTTTTTTTGGAAAACATAAAGAGAAAAAAGAATAAAAGTGGAGAAGGAAAAATGAAGAAAGAGAGAGAGAAACGGAATTTGGATAATGATGGAAAGATGAAGACGAAAATGGGAGGAAAAAGGAATGGTTAACCCAAGAGACATGAATTTTTTGTAGTATGAAGTGTAGATATGCCAAGGAATGATGATCAACGGAATGCTGGGATGGGTTACGAAAAGAATATGGACAAGAAGGAGGTGGAGGAAGAGGAGGAGGAGGAGAAGGAAGAGGAGGAGGAGGAGGAGAGGGAAGAGGACGAGGAAGAGGTATGAGATGGAAAATGAATGGGAATATAAAAAGGAATGGAATGGAAATTTTAAGAAAAGAAAAAAAATGCGAAAATATTTTAAATTATAGAAAAATTAGTGAAATTTTAAAAATTTATTTTTGACTTTTCCTAAAACATTTCCTTTTTATTTCTGCAAAACAATCGTTTTAATCTAAATTAAAAATATGAAGAAAAAGGACAAAGAAAGGAAGAAAATGAGTTAGAAATTAAAGTAAAAAGAAAAAAAACGAATTCATTTCCTAATATGTAAATTTAAGTTCATTCAATTTCCTTCTTTTAATTACATTTCCATTTCATTCAATGCATTTTAATGATATGACAGTTGTATTTATTCAGTTGTAGAGTTTTACAAATGTATTGCACTAATTAAAGCAATAATTAATTTTTACTTGAAAAAACATAAGTTTATTTAAATTTTTTGGTAAAATAAATTTTTTTAGTTTGCAAACTCGAAATAAATTGCATACTTACACAAACGATGACCTATGACTATTTAAGGAAATGGTTTTGAGTAATTTGTCTAAGTAATTATGGTAAAAGTAAAATGGAAGGTGCTGGCATTATCATCGGTTCGAAAATTTGCACATTTTCTTTTAAATTCATTGAATTGGAAATGTTATTGAAATTTCGATTACTATAAGTAATCGAAATTGCCGGAAAGAAAGTTATACTTGCAAGAAATATGCAATTTCATCCATGATTATGAGAATAATAATAATAATAATAATAATAATAATAATAATAATAATAATAATAATAATAATAATAATAATAATAATAATAATAATAATAATAATAATAATAATAATAATAATAATAATAATAATAATAATAATAATAATAATAATAATAATAATAATAATAATAATAATAATAATAATAATAATAATAATAATAATAATAATAATAATAATAATAATAATAATAATAATAATAATAATAATAATAATAATAATAATAATAATAATAATAATAATAATAATAATAATAATAATAAT